GGGGTAGAACCAGGAGAGGTGGGGAGGCAGGTGTGGGTGGGAGCTAGTCAGGCCTGTGTTCCAGCATGTTGCTGGTGGACAGGGACCCCTGGGCCTGCCTCCAGCCCCCGTGTCTGGCCAGGGCGGCCCTGATGTCAGATTCTCGCTGTAGGCTGCTCCCGCTATGGTTAAGCGGTGCCCCCACATTCTGTGGCTCAGGGCTGTTTGCCCGGCGTGGCCTCCGCTGGCCCCCAGCCAGCCCCTGCAGCCACGATAGGCATCGGGTGGCCTTCACAGCTCACTGCCTCCCTCCCTGCACAGCCACACTTGGCCCTTCCCACAGGCGGGGGGCAGGGGGCAGGCAGGGAGGGGTGCCCGCGGGACCCTTGGACCCAGCTAATGACTTCTCTCCCTGGAGCTGGCCATACCTCTGTACCCACCCAGGAATGGCCCCAGGGAGGGCAGTTCCTGCCTGTGCCTGGCTCCCTGAGCTGGACCAGCCGGGCTGGGGCCAGTTGGAGCAGGACCTACGGCTGCCCCATTAACTGTGCTCGGCAGCAGATAGCATCGGTCGTCCACCCCACCGTGGGGCATTAAGAGGCCAAGTCCAGAGCTGGGGTGTGGGCCAACCAGGTGGGAAGCACGATGGGTCACAGACAGGCACTGACCCCTCCCTTCCAGGGGCTTCCTGGAGAGTCCCCAGGTCCTGTGTCCGAGAGAGACCCGCTCCTCCTTGGCCCTCTATTGGCACCCCCATGTGTCTACTGCACCCAGATTTCTTATCGCCACCAGGCAGACGTGAGCTTAGGGGGCATCAATCCAGTTTCACAGGCGTAGAAACAGGACCCAACCCTGCCAGTTTTGAGGGGTAGGATGAGCCCCTTGGAGATTCCCCACCCCAGACTCTGGTGAGTGACTCAGCACACATGTAAGGGGTGCATCCCCTTCCCCGAGGGCCTGACCCTGTGGTCCTACTGGGGGAGTGTGGGTGAGGCGGACTCACACGGATGTTAGCTCGGTGCCTCCTGAATTCATGAATTGCATTACGGCAGGTTTTGGAGGGGTGTGGGGGCCTCCCTGGAGAGGGGTGGGCTGAGCTGACCATGAGTGGCATCCGGATATGCAGGGACAGTGGGAAGAATGTCCCAGAGGCCGGTGCAAAGGACCCGAGGCAGGACTGTGGCAGCCCTGGGGCGCCCCTAGGGGGTTTAGTAGCTGAGTGATGACGCCACACAGCTTCCCTGGGCTACTGCTCAAACGTGTTCTTGGCCCGCGTCCCACATGCCCCTCCCACTTGCCCATGCCCGCTTTGTCAAGGTGGCCCCTCCCTCAGGCTGGTTTCTAACAACAGAGGCTGTTGCTGCTGGAGCGAGGTCAGGAGGTTAGCCCCAGGTAGGAGACCCCCCCCCCCGCCCACCTCTCTGCTCTCGGAGAGCCCCCCTGCCTAACCCTTCAGGGGTTGGAAGCTTCCAGGGTCTTTGTGGGGGCAATGGGCAGAGCCTTGGGCTGCCCCCTAAGAAGGGTCACTTTCCTTGCCTGAAGGAAGGAAGGGTTCCCTGGGCAGATGAGTTTGAGAAACACTGCCCATCTGTCACCATCCCCCTCTACCCCCTGCCCCCCATACACACCTCGGGACCTCCCAATGCCCGGGAGCTCATGCAGGCCTCAGAGAAAAACCCGTAGCCACCTTCACAGGTCCCATGTTCCCCAGACTTGTGTTCCAGGGGCCACATGTGGAAAAATGGGACCTAGACACGTGGCTGGTGGCTGGGCTTGCAGATCAGGCCAGCACTCAGGACCTGGTGACACTACGCTTAAAGCCAGCCGCCCCCCCCAACCCAGTGCCTCAGTTTCCTCCTGTGTAAAACAGGAGAACGCCAGCACCCCTGGGAGGGAGCAGGGGGAGAAGGGTCACCACCGCTTGGCCCCTAGTGGGCATTATTTCTCTTGCAGTGCCACACTGGGCCCAGCTGCAGGACCTCGGCTCAGAGGAGCTGAGACTGTGATCCCTAGCCACCCACCCGTCTGTCCTCTGGCCTCCTGGGCCTCCCCGACCCACTGACAGGCCGCCCCCGGGCCTGCTCTGCGAGCTGGAGCCACCCGGAGACCCCGCTCACTCCTGCCGGCCCCGGCTGCTTGGGCGGATCCCAGTGCCCGCGGGGGCCGCAGGAGGACCCCGGGGTCTGCACTGCTCCCTGGATGGCCTGCTCTTCCTGACGGCTGGGGCTGCACCCTGCGTCCATGTGCTGGACCTTGAGGGACGATCCATCTGCCACCTGCCCTGCCACCTGCCAGGGGCTGGAGCCTTCGTGCCGGAGGATGTGGCTGTGACAGCTGCTGGGCTCATGGTGGTCAGCGACCTCGTCAGTGGGGCTGTGCACGCGCTTCGGCACACTGCCCGAGACCCCCAAGGCCGCTGGGTCACAGTGGGCTCCTTCCTGGCCCCCCGGGGGCTGGCTGTGGACGCCACCGGCCGCCTCCTGGTGACGGACTATGTGCCCGGGGCTGTGCACAGCTTTGCGCTGAGCCCTGCCCTGGAGCCACGGGCCCCAGCCTCCATACTGGGTCTGGAGGGCCCCTGCTGGGTGGGCCCGGGGCCAGACGGCGGCCTCACCGTGAGTGAGGAGTTTGGGGATGTGCGGCTGTTCGGCAGTGCCTGCCAGCCCCTGGGCTCCCTGGGGGGCCTGACGGGGCACACCTTTGGCAACCCGGCGGGCATATGCACTGACGTGGAGGGCAGCGTGATTGTGGCGGATGAGCAGCAGGGCCACGTGACCCTGTTTCCTCGGGCCGGCGCGCCCGTCTGCCTGGTGTCCGAGGGGCTGAGGCGGCCCTTGGGAGTGGCCTGTGCGCCTCAGGGCCAGCTCGTGGTGGCAGATGCCGGTGACAGCGACATCAAGGTGTACCAGTACCGCTCGCAGCTGGCCTGACCTGTGGGCTCAGATGGGAGCAGCCCCTCACGGGGTGTGGGTGAGCCCCCAGGGCCCCAGGCCACTGCGGGAGGAACACTGGGGGTTGGTGGGGCCTCCAGGACTGCTGGCCACGCCTCCCCGACCTTGTGCGTTTGCAGGGCTCCCGATGGGCCAGGTCCTGGGTTGCCTCCTACCTTCCTCTTGGAAACGATTCAGACTTCGTTGGCTGTCACAAACCAGCCGCCTCCCAGCCACCAAAGTTGGGCCCTCTGCACACCCCAGTTTAGGGTGCCCGAGCACTCATGGCCCCCATGTCCACTCAGGCCCTGGCCCTGCCGGGTCAAGGCCCAGGAGGCCTGAGCTTTGGGCCCAGCCCCTGAAGCCTGCAGACCTTGCGCTGCGTTCACCCAGGCAGGTTCTCGGGCCAGGTGCCCCAGCCCCAGCCTCCTAATCAGACAGAAGCAGGCAGGGAGGGTGCGGCTGGGCTGGGCTGGGCTGGGCTGGGCTGGGCTGGGCTGGGCAGGGGTGCAGCCCTTCACCGTCCCCCATCTCCAGACGCACCCCAGGTGCCGAGCCTCCTGCTGCTTCTCTGGGCCTAACTGAGGTAAGGCAATGCAAAAGAGGGGCTGCCCCAGAGGCACCCTGGGGTGGCACATGGCTGGGAGGGGAGCCTCCATACCCCTGGTCCACTTCTCCCGTGTGAGATCGTCTCTCAGGCTGAACCTGCATTTTCTCCTCTGCAAACCAGGAGCAAAGGGCTCCAAGCTCATGGGTGGGGTGTGCTGGGAAGGTTCCAGGCGGTGGCCCAGCCTGGAGAGCCTTCCTATGAGGAAGGACTCCTGTTACCTAAAAACCATGGGCAAATGAGGCCCAAAAGAGGTGGGGGCGTGAGGGTGGAGCTCTGCGTTTGGGGCCCAGCCAGGCCCCTAGTTCCAGTGAGGGGTCTCAGTGGGAAGGGGACAGCGCCTGGTCACCAGGACATTGCCTCTGACAAGGTCCCCCTCATATGTACCAGCCCATGTGGGGGGCGGGATTTCAGTGGTCAGTGTAAGGAAGCATGACCACTACGTGCTCAATAAATGCTACTTGTTGCTACTGGTGTCAGGGATATTGTTCGCTGGAGCAGGAGGGGCTAGGGACCCCTCTGACGACCAAACCAGATGGCTGCCGCCTCTGGGCTGGCCCACTGAGGCCCAGCCTTCCTAGTCCACTGGGCCCTGGGGGGACCTGGGGGTGCCCCTTGGCAGAGACCGTTGTTGGAGGGGGCCAGTCTGGAGCTGGGGAGGCAGCTCCTTCTGGAACCCCACACAGGGCTTGGGGGTCCTTTCACCAGTGGCAAGGTGAGGTTGGGGACCCTCAAAAGCCAGGCCCACCGGGTCCCTCAGATGAGGAAATGGGGGATGGGGGAGGTTTGTCAGCTGTGAGAAGGTGGGGGACTGGAAGGCAGGGGTGTTGGGGACACTGCAGGTGTCCTGGAGGGGGTACAAGAATGCTGCGGGGACAAGGATACTGTGGGGGGGGAACAAGGACACTGGGGGAACAAGGACGCTGGTAGGGGGAGACAAGGACATTGCTGGTGGGGGATAAGAACTCTGGGGGGGACAAGGACATAGGGCGGGACAAGGACACTGGGGGTGGGAGAGGACACTGGGGGGCAAGGACCCTGGCGGAGGGGGACAAGGACACTGTTGGGGAACAAGGATGCTGCGTGGGGGGAACGAGGATGCTGCTGGGGGACAAGGATGCTGGGGGGGACAAGGACACTGGGGGGGCAAGGACACTGCTGGTGGGGGACAAGAACGCTGGGGGGGACAAGGACACGAGGGGGGACAAGGACACTGGGGGGAGAAGGACACTGGGGGGCAAGGACACTGAGGGTGGGGGACAAGAATGCTGCTGGGGGACAAGGACGCTGGGGGGGAACAAGGACACTAAGGGGGGGCAAGGACGCTGCTGGGGGACAAGGACGCTGCGCACGCAGACTCCGGGGACTGGAACGTTGCGCGCGCGGAACGCTCGAGCGGGGTCCGCGTGCAGCTCGGGCGCCTTTGGGGGCCGGACCGTCGCGCGGCAACGCTGGGAGCCGGCGGAAATGGGGCTCGTGTCCCGCGGCGCGGCCGCGGCGGGGCTGGGGGCGGCGAGCGCTGTCGTCCGCCCAGGTCCGCCCCACGCGGTCCCCCACTCCATCCCTGGGGAGCAGACGGTGAGCATTCGGGGGGAGTGGGCCGGCATCCGTGCGCTGTGACCTTGGGGCGCCGCCCCTCCCG